GCCAACTTTAATAACCTATTGGCAACTGATTGGCCAACTTTAATAACCTATTGGCAACTGATTGGCCAACTTTAATAACCTATTGGCAACTGATTGGCCAACTTTAATAACCTATGCATTAATGTGCCCCCGCACGCCCCCCCTGCCACCTGGGCCCAGACATGGTGGGGATGCTTTTCAGCACCAAGTATCAGGTGAGCCCTCCTTCCCCGGAGTGTCATAGTCTGCATTTATCCATGGGCCCTCTAAGTCATGGCATCTCCAAAGCTAGCCAAGATACCTTCAGAGTGCCAGCAGGACTGAGGCCGATGGGCCGAGAGCCGCTGGTTGGGTTTGGCTCAGGATCCATTAGGGAGCCATATGCACCCACACATGGAAATCAGTTGGGGTGGCAAAATCAAAGCCATTTCTTTGTACATTTGCAGGTGTAACATTCTCTAATATGTACCATATATGGTTAAAATACATCAAATGCAGTAAGTATACACATTTCATATAAACATAGTCTATAACTTTCTTATTGGCGTTAGCCCAAATAATTAAACATTTGTTAGATTAAAAAAATGCATTTTGATAACTCTTAGTAGTTTCTGAAACTATGCAAATGCAGATTTAACATTCCTGTTAATACTGAAACTAAAATTCATTGGTGTACACATATTAAAGTTTGTCTTGCGATAACCGCAGGTTTCTGCCTATACTATAGCACAAAACAACACTAAATACACACATACACATTAACTGACAGTCTCCCTACACTTCATGTAGAAAATTTTAAACCTTGTTTTTCATGATTTATTGGGCTAATAACACTTACCTTGTTGCCATTTCCAGAGTGTAACTATGCAATGCATCATGGTTCGATTTTTTTGCAGAACGTCAGCACGCGTCAGCATGTCACATGGTACAAACACCTCGTGAGAGCAAGACCACTTAAGACAGATCGTGCAGCTCCTCTCAGCTGGCTGCACAAACTGGAACCGCCTCCGTGACGACACAACTTTGCCCTTATTGGCTGAAGATTTTAGTCACACGCATGACGTTTGTATCCCAGGCAATTCCGATGCGTAATCTGCTATTTCTCCCGAATATCACGTAAAGCAGTGAGAACTGGTTCTCAGTTAATTTACCTGGTAAAATAAAGTTTAAATAAATGACATAAATGCTCTAATAGTACATGTGAGTTAGTTGTTTATTTGTTGTTAGTTACTGTAATGTTGCGCTGCTTTATTTGTTTAATCATCCAGTCTGTGAAGAAGGCATTCAAGTAAGAATTGCATTGTACTCTGTACATGAAAATAAAAACTTTGCATCCCTGCAATAAATGTATTTGATCTTTTTCCCGGCAGCTATCTTTTTACACAGGGCCACTATATACGATAGTTTATTTTTTCACTGCTAACAGTTTGTATCAGGAGTTGGTTATTGTAAAAGAAGTAATGTGCATTCAGGTGATATTTGTATAGATTTATCTACACCCTTCTGGCAGTCCTGCCATTGCAGTGAGGTCTCGCACACTATGGGGAGTAGAAGTTGTCCAACTTGGCTGCAGTCAGTTTATACTCCACCCCTGCAGCTGCCGGCAGATCTCGCTCCACGTCACGTCAGCTGCAGACAGACCTAAGCCCAAGTCGAACGCACTCATAGTTTTGAGAGGACACTATGGGCTGAACCATTTTTCAAGGAAGGGGGGTAACGTTATGCAATATATTCAGTTTTAGAATTCATGTTCAATGTTAATTGTAGCTATACTTGCTCAAAGCGTTAATGCTAGGTTATTTTAATAAACAACATAGTCATATGCACTAGGGGTGGCAAGACATTATTTTAGGGTGGCACATGCCACCCCATGCCAGCACAGTAGATCCGCAACCCTAGATAGTAACCCTCGCAACCCTGTGAGCCAAACTCGCCCATCCCATCGCATCCTGCCCTGTCCTGCCCCACCTCTTCTCGCCTCACCCCCTCCCATTCCATCCCATTAGGTCCTTCCTATCCCCATCCTGTCCCATCGCAGCCCGTCCCACTGCAGTTTTGTGTTCACGGTTCGGTGCAATTTCAGTACTACAAGGAAAACATTTGTTTTCAGATTAATTATTATTAAAACTTCAAAACACAAGCACAATTAGAATCAGTTAATCCAAAGGCAAGGTGTCTGTTGACATACCTGAATAACAAAACCTAACCAATATCCTGCCCGACACACTGATATCCCGCCCGACACACTGATATCCCGCCCGACACACTGATATCCTGCCCGACACACTGATATCCTGCCCGACACACTGATATCCTGCCCGACACACTGATATCAATTCTGACATAGTAATGTCCTTCCTGGCACACTGAAATTCTACCTGGCACACCAATATTTTGCCAGATACACTGCATTCCTGCCTGCCAAAGCATGAATACAAACAGGGAGATAGGGACTGTATGCTGATCATGGTGACAGTGACACACGTGACAGTAATGCTCAAACCCTGACCCCCAACACAGTGACCCAACAGATCACAGTGACAGTGACACACGGGAGAGTACTGCTCGAGTCCTGCCCCCCAGCGCAGTGACCCAGCAGATCACAGTGACACACGGGAGAGTACTGCTCGAGCACTGACCCCCAGTGCAGTGACCCAGCAGATCACATTGACAGTGACAGACGGGAGAGTACTGCTGAAGCCCTGACCCCCAGCGCAGTGACCCATCAGATCACAGTGACAGTGACACACTGGAGAATACTGCTCGAGTCCTGCCCCCCAGCGCAGTGACCCAGCAGATCACAGTGACACACGGGAGAGTACTGCTCGAGCACTGACCCCCAGTGCAGTGACTCAGCAGATCACAGTGATAGTGACACACAAGAGAGTACTGCTCGAGCCCTGACCCCCAGCGCAGTGACCCAGCAGATCACAGTGACAGTGACAGACGGGAGAGTACTGCTCAAGCCCTGACCCCCAGCGCAGTGACCCAGCAGATCACAGTGACAGTGACACACGGGAGAGTACTGCTCGAGCCCTGACCCTAATTCTTACTAACAGCCACACGCACACTCTCCTCACTGAGGCCGCAGGCACGTACCTGACCTCGTCATTTACCGGCACTCCTGCTTCCATGGGAACGTGCTCTGCTGTCCTGTGTCCTGCTTTGTGTTCACCAGGCACCCAGCCCTTCTGCACGCTGTACTGCAGTGGCTGTCGCTCCTCCGGGCCCCCCAGGTCCCCTGCGCCCTGAGTCAGCAGGTTCTCTCTTGCCAGACCTTTCTGAAGGCCATTCACTGGGTCACACGAACTCCACGCCCCCCCTCCGCTGCTGACCAGCACAATCAGCTCACGCCACATCTGGAGAGACCCCAAAGTGACCTTTTTTAGAAGGGCCCCAGGCAAGGTCATGCAGCCACACCCACGTGCATGAAGGCGGAACCAGCTCAGCTACAAAGCCCTGCCGACTGGAGGCCGCAGGCTGCTGTTGTCCTCTTAATACTGCAGCCTCTAGAAAAAGCAGGGCACTTTATGAACCTGTTTCCACAATCTACCTGCAAGGATACCTGCCTGTGATGCACATGCTAGGACAGAAGCATGCCTCTCTTAATGCTCACAGAGATACTAGGGCTGAAATGCACCTTAGATTTCTGTGAGGGAAAACACAAGGGCCAGATAACAGAGTGCATCTCTCTTTCTGGTGTTTCCTCCGAACAGGTTTGTGCAAATGACGCATTTGAAAGGTTGCAGCGCCCCCTTGTGGATGTGGGGTGTTTCGCCTGCTGCCAGAGCGGGGTTGCGACAAGTCTAAAGCGTCGTACCTGAATTATTTGTGGTACGTCTGCTTGCAGAGTACCTCACCAGGTTTTACGTGACCACCTAATCCATGTCAGGGGACACACCATGAGCTAGGACAGGGGCTGTGGACTTCCATTTCAAATAAAAAGACCTGGATTTCACTTAAGCACTGATTTCTTGCTGTGTTCTGATTGGTCAGTCTCCTATAATCATGATGTCACTAATATTAATATGAAACAGCCGTATAAGTCTTTCATTCAAGGAGACAAACTAGTAAAAGCACAAGACGAGCCAAGCGATTTAGCCAAACACAGGAGCCTTTCAGTTTAAAAGTAGTTTGTAAAACCTGAAGTAGAGCATAGTCTCTAGATACTGCTGTTGTACCTTCATGTTGGGTGCAACATGCAAAGCTCACAAAACTTACCGCCCGAACAAGAAGAACCTCCCCTTTCTGTCCGGCTTAGCATCAGTCTCGTCCTCCAGATCCTCTTCATCCTCCAGGATCCCCTCAACCTCCGGCCCTTCCTCGTCCGGATTAACCTCGGTCTTGTCCGCCATTATCCTGGGATATGAAAGTTTAAATGAATCCTGAATAATACATATTAAGATAAAATTAGCCCTATTTTTGGTGATCAGAAATACCCTTGGGGTCACGCCCACACGCCCATAGCAGCTGCGGTCGATCTCCCCTGATTAGCTCCACTTCTTAAGGACATGTTAAGGACTATTACCGAGCGTTCTTTTGTCTTTTGCCTCTCCCGCCTGCTGCGGCCTGCCCTCTGCGGCCTACCTTCTTCTGCCTGCTGCGGCCTGCCCTCTCCCGCCTGCCTTGTCTGCCCTGTCCCGCCTTCCCAACCTGCCTGCTCTGCCTGCCCCGTGATCCCAGTCTGCCTTGCCTGACATCGCCAGCCTGACCCATCTCCATCGATCCACCTTCCCTGTCGTCTTCTCGTCCCGTACTGACCTGTAGGACTGACTTCCCTGGCTCTCGACCTCCTGCGAACGTCCCGACCACGATTTCGGATCACTGTCTTGGCTTTGTCTATACCCGGCTTGTTAATAAAATTCCCGGTCTCCCGCAACACGGGGTCTGCCTTCAGTTTGCCTTCTGTTCATTACACTCGGATTAATAATATAATTAAATGATCGTGAGCGTTCAGAATTTAAGAATTATTGTTAAAATACTCATTGTGCCATTCCGACTACATTAAACGATGAGTCATTGGGAACTACTCGTGAGTAATCTAATCCACACAAGATCAACACTCAAGGGGATCAGTGATCTCATCTTCTAAACAAAAAAGAACATTTATATGTCATTTAATCTATTAAGTTTGACATAAGATACATACAGAATATCACCCTGGCTGTTCCTCTCCAGTGTAAAATGGCTCATAAACTGGTGGTTTTACCTGTTATGTAAAACACACTCCGCCTGTCCGCTACGATAAAAATATTCATACAGAACGATCAACCCACATTATAACACGACCCAAGGAAGGGTGTCACCGCGCTGCGTTAACGCGGATAATGACACGACTTACTCTTCAAGTGTCCCCAAATCGCTATGTGCCCAGCGGACGCAAACTACCAGCGGTCTGAGTAATTTCTGGTTTCTCTTTCGCTTTACGGCCGTTTACGATCAATGTACCGAAAGGGAGAAAACGAAAGATCTGAAAGCTGCACGAACTTCCGCAAAAACAAACTTAAAGTAACAGTGACGAGACTTTCTAAGCAGCCAAGCATGACTCATGGCAGTTGGGAGCACAGGGTGACGCATGGCTTAAGTGATTTTGCCAGCCCAGTCATTAAACAGAAGCAGAAACTATAACCCTTGCATGATTATTAAGCATTAAAGCCACCTCAGTTTATGTGGAGACCAATATGCAAGGCATGGAGACCCTGAAGACCTTGCAGTCTAATTTTGGAGCTTCATAACAGCTTTTGAGTGTCACATGTCAGGTCAGAGTGCCCTCACGGACAGCAGCAAACATGGGGAGGGACCCAGTGGGGACCCTGTACACCACTACTAACCCTATTTGCAGATTGTCAGGTATTAGTTCATCCTCATTCTGCTGCAGATCAGGACAGTGACTCATTTGCCAAACTTAAACGATAGGCCTTGTTTGTCACCACGTACCGGAGTCCTGTCCTGACGGACAGCTGGATAGCCGACTGTGTGGTGCCACAGGCTGTCCCTCCCCCAGGGGGTGGTCTCTGGCCACCGGCACAGTGTATGACATGCTGCCTGTAACGGCAAGTACTAAGTTTAGGCACAGCGCAGATCCGTGTCAGACAAGCTGTGTCCCGGCCGTATCTCCTGCTTTGTCCCTCCTTCCAGAAGCTCATCAGAACCACTCATCCTCAATTACCTGCCCCGTTCGCCCATCGGTGTCCGTCGCCCCTCCGGTGACATGAACGTCCAGCCGTGTGCCAGGTGCGGGTACACAGTGTACCCTGCCGAGAAGATCAACTGCATCGGCCAGGTAGGATCTCCAGTTTTCAAAAACAGCCCAAACCATAGAGAAACCGGGTTTGGTTTCTCCAGAAAGACCTTCAGAAAGGTTTGGCGTTTATGAGTTTATGATGTCTGCTTTAAACTGGCTGTTCATGTAGTGAAAACCTGAGGCAACATGGGAAACTTTGGCCTGAAAGTTATCTGCCTCTCACATTTCAGACTCCTCAGACATGTGAGGCAAATCATTTGGCCCACTGTCTGCTTCCTGTAACATATCTCCAGAAGTAGATCTCTCCAGCCACTGCCACACTGTGAAGTAACACGTCTGTGTGTTTTTCTCTGGTTGCAACAGAATTGGCATAAGTCATGCTTTCACTGCGAAGTATGCAAGATGGTCCTCACTGCCAACAACTGTGTCAGCCACCAAAAGAAACCCTATTGCCAAACGTAAGTGGTCATCGCCAGGCCACTGTCATGGTACTGTATCACCCTTCATCACCAACAGGAGGTGCTGCAGTAGCTGGACACCATAAGTGACATCAGTACAACTGGTATAATTTAAAACAATCAATTCAAAGACCTGAGTTTGTGCAAGATGTCAGTGCTCAACCATCCCTCAGTGACTCTGTTTCAGGTCCTCTGCCTTCACAGAATCATGTAATAACTCAACTGTTTTATGTCTTATGTGTCTTAATTGAGTTATGAAATATTATCTCCCAATGCTGGACTTCAGACATAACCCCAAGAACAACACGTTCACCAGCGTCTACGAGACCCCCGTCAACATCAACGCCAAAAAGCAAAGTGAAGCCGTCAGTGAGGTGAGGGGGCACACACGTCCATACAGGCACGACTCTCCATCAGCTCTGTGCCCGTTAGACCACAGAGCTTCCCTCCAGCTCAGTGCAGAGCGTGTCACGCGTCACACGTGTGATGCTGCACATGCGATCATCTCTATGTGATGCTTCGCAAACATGACTTCATGTTCAATACACGCCGTCGCTGACATTGTGCAAGCAGGTGCTTTACTAACTTTTCAAAAACAGCATGGAGATATTTATAGGTTAAACTGAAACAGTAAGTGGCTGGTGTAGTAGTGAGAAATTAGGAAATGATACATTGTCAATGGTCAGCTATGTTTGAACTTAAAACATAAAACATTAACTTACACTAGTAATACATTGCAACCCAAGTTATAGTTTTAAAGAGGTGTTCTCACTTAAAAAAATCATTGACAAGCAGTCTCATTGCTTTTTAATTAGTAAAACCTTTGCAATAACATAAAACACCAAACATTTGTGTTTAGCATCACTTTGGGAGCCAATTGCAATTGTTAGCAAAATGGCAAGAACAGAACTGAATGAGTCAGCCAGCACGATGGTACAACAGCTCTAAGCTTACATAGTCTCTGCTCGCCAACATCGACACTGTACTTTATAAGGGAAATTATGACACTTAATAAAAATGTGCAGAAAATATGTGCAGTGTTAAATATTGCTTGTCAATTGACTTTTGTTATGACACTGATAAATCTGCAATATTTTTACTGAAATAGCAAGTGTCCCAAGACTTTCTGTGAGCTCTGTATATACTGTGACAAAGTCTTAGACACTCAAGAAAAATGATCTTCATATTGGTGTATAATTGTGATGTCTGTCAAAGTGAGTCACTTAGCCTTTTCAAAACCTGCCCAAAAGTTACCCTATGATTTGAGGTAACCATCCAACATACCTGTGTGCTTGATAACTCAGTCACTTCCATTCCCTGTTTTATATGAGCAAATCAACGCTTCCCACCCAGGTAAATAGCTGGAAGAATTTCCTTTGGCTGCCTGTGACTCACACAGTACTGTTTATATTTAGGCAGCTGCTCTCGGGTGATGTAACATGTGGAAATCTACTTTGCACTTGGCACTTCCCATGAAGGCTCGCCGATGTTTATATTTGGTGACTTTAAAGCCCATGGAAGGTGTTTGACTTTTTCCTGGAGTTCATGAATTTGTACAGCAGTGTGTATGGTGGCATTATAATCTTAGATTATAAAGGGAACATGATGATGGATGTGGAAGAAAAATGTAAAGTTAGGTGGGGTTGGGTGCATTATGGGATTGTTGTTCTGTCTTAGGCCAGGAAATACTGTTGCATTATGGGACTGTAGTTCTGGCTGAGGCATTAGGCCAGGAGATATTGTCGCATTATGGGACTATTGTTCTGTCTTAGGCATTAGGCCAGGAGATACGATTTGTACTTGTAGAATTGCGGAAGTGTACTGGAGTGAACATTCCAACACACTGACCTGTGCTTGCACTTTAGAATGCACCTACCCTCACATTTCCTTTGAGTTTACAACAATGCAGAGCAACCATTGGATCTAAGTTGGCAGTCTGTACCATTATCGGTCCCCAGCATTGTATACTGAACACAACCTTTGGCTTTCTCCTAATATAAATCCATTTGACTTATATGTGCGCATACCAGAAAATAATTTAAATTATGTTATATGTTTTCAAATAATTGTTGTCAGGGTCTATATAGCAGTATAGTTCCTGAACCTCTGATGTAATGTTTGAATAGTCCCCTCCTTGTGGGTTAGGGGTTGAACAGTCCTGCTTCCTCGGTGACTTCATGAGCCAGGAATGAGGTCCAGGTTCTGGCTGGGTCTATTTCTGAGCCCTGATGGAGATGGGACCCCTCAGCCCTGACCTGTTTTATCTGTTTGGTTGTTAAAATTACCTCCTGAGGAAGGGATGTGGCCTCACCTCCTGGTCTTTCTGGAGGAGCACCTGTGCCTGTTTGTCAGCTGCTGGCAAACGCCGTCACACTTGCAGGCTCCAGGGATTTGGTTCACGCCACCTATAACATACATGTTTAGGAGAATAAAATGTTCCTGTCTGCCGTGATGACCCTTCAGTCCTCAGGGAAGGGGACTATCTGCCATAATAGTCCTCAAGTCCTCAGGACAGTCTGACATGATACTCTTCAGGTCCTCAGGATATTGTATCATGATAGTTCTCAGTTTTTGAGGCACCTTGCTGTGATGGACCTCAAGACAGTCTGCCATGATAATCCTCAAGTTCTTGTTGGTTGTAACAGAGCTCCTGTAGGCCTATTCCCTGTGAGAGTCCTAAATTCATGTCTTACACCGTAGATTAAATACCGGGAGGACGGCGAGCGGTATATGTCTACCTTCCACTATGACATGAGGTCGAAGGAAGTAGAACATGCCCGCAAAGTCAGCCAGCTCGCTAGCCAGGTGAGTGGGGTACGGCATTCAGCAAACGAGCAAGTGAGTAAGCAAGGAATAGTAGGAGACTGCAATATCAGCCATGTGATACTACAACTATATGATACACAAGTCAGGAAAAGGTCTCAAAAAAGTAAGAGAGCATATTAGATTCAGGTACTAGAGATCAGCTTGTACTCCAGTGGTTGCAAAATCAATCAATCAATCAATCAATCTATCAATCTATCTATCTATCTATCTATCTATCTATCTATCTATCTATCTATCTATCTATCTATCTATCTGCAGAAGGCATATAAGGCTGAGTATGAAGAGCAGAAGACCTGGTTCTCTGAGACCAACCAAGAATATGTGCGTGTCACTCAAGACCAGAGGACAATCAGTGATGTAAGTTCTTTTGAGCACTTGGCCCAGTGCTCAAAAGACATAACACACCTGAACTGTGATAGTGTGTACTTACTGTAACAAACTTTCAAAGTCATAACCCAGATTAGTAGAATCATTCATGAATGTGCTTGTAAGCCACGATGGCTACCTGCTATGTCGACAGCTGAAGCAGACTGAGGAGTTTGAGCAGAGCACAGGGAAGGGCAGCTATCCTGTCATGATCACCCCGGCCTACCAGCATGCAAAGCAGGCCTCTAGCCTGGCCAGCAATGTGAGTAAAACGTGAGAAGGGCAGCTATCCTGTCATGATCACCCCGGCCTACCAGCATGCAAAGCAGGCCTCTAGCCTGGCCAGCAATGTGAGTAAAACGTGAGATGGTCCAAACAGGCAGCCCGTCCAGCAGCAATGCTCCAGGAGGTCAGCAAAGAAGGTGACAGGGAGCACTTCCATGAGCACCTGTTGTTATGCCAGAGAGGAACACAACTGTTGCAACAAAATATGCAGGAGTAGAAACTGGTAAAAAAGAACACTTTGTACTGTAACAGGACTGCAGATTTTCTCAATTGCTTCTGCACATTTCATGAAACATATTTAACATCACGGCTATAAGAGTATTTCCCAAAATAGTTCATGCATATAGCACAGCACTATGGCTTCGCTGTAAAAGCTTGTAACTTACCCAAAAGAATTAACCCACAACTCAAAAGCACCTTCTTCAGATCACAGTACAATAGCAAACAAAATAGTCACACAGCTCTATATGACACAAAACAGCAAAGTGGAACAAGAAAATGAAAACAAAAGCAGTGTACTGTGTGAACCAAAAACACAACAATGCCCTGGTACTGCAGATTATGTAATGTATTTTTAAATTATTTTGAAACCTGGGTTAACTGTTTGACATGTGGTGGCTAACACAATGATCACATACAGATATACTTTTGGGTGTACAATTATTACAGTGGGAAACTACATAGTCTATTTTGACCAATACCTTCAACACCTTGTGCTAATTACCTTGAGCTGAATCATACGTGGGGAGACAGGGAAAGAACTAAGCTACACGGGGCTCCAGCCCCCCAGGACTGGAGTTTGACATCCCTGCTCTAACGATCCTCACCTCGACCATTTCACTATGATGTAAGGATGATGAGAGCAGCTTTGGGGTGAGTACCTTACTGTAACAGCATGAGTTTCTCTCCTTTCTTACAGCTGGAGTACAAGCGTGGACATGAAGAGCGAATCTCAAAGTTCACAACGGTGACTGACACTCCTGAGATCCTGCTGGCCAAGTCCGGGGGGAAGCTCGCTAGTGATGTAAGCTATGAGTCTTCCATCCCCGTCCCCGGGACACATGGGGAAGGGGGGAGTCGTGCCCACACACACACGTGGAGTAGGAAAGAGTCAAGGGATTGCATGACAGTGGCCATTGTGAACCCCTTCAGGAAGAGGTTAGACATCTTGATCATTTACGAAGGTAGATAGACTGGAATCCATGGATTGCAAAGTAAGCTCCAGGTTACCAGCACGACTGATGTTTTTGCTCCAGTCTCCATCACTTGGTCTTTTCTGTGCACAAGCCAAGCTGTTACCCAGGTGGAATTGAATGTGAACAGTAAGGAGGTGTGGAGGGGGGAGTGGTCTAGTGGTATGGAATAGAGGGGTGGAGAAGTATAGGTTGCAGAGATGGAGAAATGTGGGATAGAGGAGTGGGGAGGTGTAGTTTGAAGGGGCCCCTGGAGGATGGGCTACCCCTTTGGGTTTGGTTAGGGTTTGGGCTTCCTCTGCTGCCCCCTGGAGGATGGGCTCCCCCTTTGGGTCTGGTTCCTCCCAAGGTTTCTTCCTTCTAGGGGGTGTTAATTTGGCACTGTCACCTCTGGCTTGCTTTCTGGGGGCTTTGGGCAGGGATAATGTAAAGTACTTTGAGACAATGTAATGTTGTGAAAATACGCTATATAAATAAAGTTAAGTTGAATTGAATTGAATTGAGAGGTGCAAATCGGAGAGGTGTGAGATAGAGGGGCGGAGAGGTTTCGAATGGAGGGGTGGAGGGGTGTGGAATGGAGAGATGGAGAGTGTAGGAATAGGGGAGTGGAGAGGTGCAGAATTTCTCCTCATACTTCATTGGTACATTTTGTAGCTTGTATAGATATGAAATGCATGGTACTTGCATTGAACTTGTTTGTATGTGTACTTGCAGTACAACTACACAGAGGAATATTTACAGCAGAAAGGAAAAGGCAGCTTCCCAGCTCACGTCACTCCTGGGTACCAAGCTGCCAGGAAAGCTGGAGAGATGGCCAGTGACGTAAGCATGGACACACATAGGCAGCTCCCCAAGTCAACGTGGAGGGAGCTGATATGCCTGACGATGCTTCTGAATGGCCTGTTCCAGGTGAAGTACCACGAGAAGTACGAGAGGGAGCTGAAGGGCAAAGGAAGCTCTGAGGCCGGGACGATGGAATTTGCACTCGCTCGGGAAAACGCAGAGAACTTCAGCCAGGTGGGGTGCGATGTCTGGATAACAACGCTGAAAGGGGATGAGCCACACTGCACTCATGGTTATTCAAATGACTGGATGGGCCGTCTGATTGTAGAGTTCAGCCCGTATAGCTGAATTCCCCAAGCCAGTGTCTATGTAGGTGTGTGTGCCGTCTATCATCACTGACCATGCTGTTCCTTCTCACAGCACACCTACACCGAGGAATACGAGCAGCACAAAGGGAAGGGAAGCTTTCCCGCCATGATCACGCCGGCCTACCAGCTGGCTAAGAAGGCCCACGATCTGGCGAGCGATGTGAGTACCGGGCTAACGCTAATGCTAATGCTAACTTTACCACCTACACTGTGCATCTGCTTTTGGATCTGTCTGTTAGCACCTTCCAGGAAGAAGCCCAAAAGGTGCCACTGTATTCTCCATCTGCGTGCTACTTGGCCTAATAAAACTTAATAAGAAAACTTAGCCTAATAAAAAGTCCATAATGCCATAAAAATATATCAGCCTATATGAACTAAAGTGACAATATGGCAGAATAATCTGTCAGTTTTTATAGTTGTTTAATGTTTAACATCTGTTTTTAGCTGAAATGTTTTTTTTTGTTCTTAAAACTCAGCTCATATTTTTTTTAAATGCAAAACCATGATTCTAACACAGTAACTGCCTTCAACTGAGAGGATCATAAAGTGATCCATCATACATCCTAGAAAAGATCACAAAACCGATGAAAATAATAACATTTAATTTATTTAGCGGAATCATTTATCCAAAGCAAAGTACAACTAAGAAAGCAGAGTCAGCCAGTTCCTGTAGGAACTGGGAGGTTTACAGCCTTGTTCAGGGGGCCAACGCTGATGTCACTCTGCCATCCCTAGGATTTGAACTGGCAATCTTCCGATGACAAGCACAACGCCATACCCCACTTAGGCACAATAATAGCAATATCACACATGATGTTTTTGCCTAAAGGCAAATGTCACTCCGGTTTGGAGTCTGTCATTGTTAGCCTGGGAGTCTGTGGGGTGGATTGTCATCATTCTCCTGCTGTCACTGACATCAAGTGGACAGGTATGGCATGCGGTGACATCACAGACTGGTGGGCAGTTAGTGGCGTGTGTTTGCTCATACTGTAGGAATCTCACGTTCATTTATCACCCTGCATGAGAGTTTGCCTGGGCTGCTGGCACCAAAGTGCCTGTCCTTGTACCGTCCTACAGCTAAAATACAAGCAGGACCTCTCGAAGATGAAAGGCCAGGCTCACTACCACACAATGACCACTGAGGACAACCTAGCTCTCAAGACTGTGCGTAAGATCAACAAGCTGGTCAGTGAGGTAGGTGCTCTGAAGGCGATGAGAATGACGTGTCAGCAGGAACCACGGGCTTGCAAGAGCTGCTTCTGTATCAACTGAGCTTAATTCATCTGCAATGGCCTCCAGGTTGAGTATAAGAAGGATCTGGAGAACACCAAAGGACACAGCATCAACTACTGTGAGACGCCGCAATTCAAGAACACATCTAAGATGTCCAAATTCACCAGTGATGTGAGTTGTGATGCTGTACTTCCCTGTTAGCTCAACTACTGGGCCATAAATCTGAGCACTCCCCAGGTATTATTAGTATCTCAGTATGAATGTCTGGCATACAAATATTATGGGCTGGAGTTATGTTATGAGTGCTTCCCACAAAATGTGAACCCTGCTTTAGTACGGAAACGAATCCTGCAGCGCGGGAATGCGCCTGATGCCCAAATATATCACTCACGTTCATCACTCTGGTACTCTGACTGGGTCAAGAATAACTCTGTTCTTGGGACATCATGATATTTACGGCTTCATATGATACGTTGTGCTCTGCGGCAGAACACACAATTGCTGAGATCAGTGAAACATAGTCAAAAAAATGTTCCATGAAATTCTCACGAAACGCAAGACGAAACCATGAAAAGACCAAAAAACATGACCATGTGAGCATCGCAGAACTCTGCGTCATGTGCCTTTTGCTCCAGGATACATGGCTGATAGGTAACCCCAGGCTGACAGGTAACCCCAGGATCAAAGGCAAAGGCTTCATCTGCTTTGCTGCTGCCCTTTGCAGATCAGGTACAAAGAGAAGTATGCGAACCACATAAAGGGGCACTACGAAGGCTCCGGTCTGGACAGGAAGACCGCGCACGCCATGAAAGCGCGAAAGCTGGCCAGCAACGTAAGACCCGCCTCCAAGTTTGTCCCTACAATGCAGGGGTTGTGTTTTACCTATGATGAGGGCGGAGTCTGTTTGTACTTGTGGGAGGGGCTGCAAGGAGGTAACCTATGACAAATCATATCTTTCAGATCGCCTATAAGTCAGACTATGAGCAGGAGAAGGCTGAGCAGACAGAGTATAACTACCCAGCCACCAATACCCCATCCTACCATACACAGAAGAAACTGGAGCCGCTGAAGGATGTAAGTCTGCTGGCACATAACGCACAGTGAGACAAGAGTACATCGAGGGACTCTGGGTTGTAGGTCATTCGTGCAAACTGAACAAAATGGAGATCATTCTCCTGAAATTGTGAAACATTCCAACGGGTAACTAGAGTAAGAACTGCCATCAGGATGTTGTGGCAAATGTGGGAAATGTAGCCTATGGTCAAGAGAGGAGTCTATTGCAACACTGCCATTTTATGAAACTTCCTCCACTAACCAAACCAGGTGAACTACAGACAGCACATCGACAAGCTGAGGTACAGTTCAGTGACAGACACCCCAGACATCGTGCAGGCCAGAATCAACTCTCAGCAGCTCAGTGACGTAAGTGCCCTGGTGCATGGTGCAATGTGAGTGACTCGCAATAAGAAGTAACAGAGCAGAGGTGCAGTGTGCAGAGCAGAGGTGCAGTGTGCAGAGCCGAGCTGCAGTGTGCAGAGCTGAGCTGCAGTGTGCAGAGCAGAGGTACAGTGTGCAGAGCTGAGCTGCAGTGTGCAGAGCTGGCCAGGCACGTCAGCCATGTGTTATTGTAAAAACTTGATGCTTTATTTTACTGTCACTTGGACCAAATTATGAGATCAGCTGCCGGTTTGGCTCACTGGTGGTGAGGTGTGGAGATTTTCAACAGCTGGACCATGATAGATATTCCAGTACTCTTGAGATATTCTGGTGTTCTCATGTTATTCTGTTACTTTTGTGCCATTCTGGTGGTATATTGGTATTCTAACACTTTTGTGGTTTTCTGTCACTCTCATGACATTCTAGTACTCTAGCGGTATTCTTGTGGTTTCCTGTCACTCTCATGGTATTCTTGTGGTTTTCTGTCACTCTCATGGCATTCTTGTGGTTTCCTGTCACTCTCATGGCATTCTTGTGGTTTCCTGTCACTCTCATGGCATTCTTGTGGTTTCCTGTCACTCTCATGGCATTCTTGTACACTAGCGGTATTCTTGTGGCTGCTTCTCATTGTTTGCTGTTACTCTTGCACTGTTCTAGTGTCTGAACACTGCCAATAGTAGACTGATATACTGTGTTGGTCTTACCACAGCTGAATTACCGGGCCAGTTACGAGAAGACTAAGACCCAGTACACTCTGCCAGAAGACCTCCCCCAGATCAGAACTGCTAAGGCTAATGCTGAGTTGTACAGCAATGTAAGCAGCCAGCTTGATATTTTCTGGTTTTAAGTTTGGAACTATGGTCTCCAGGCTGTGAAAACTGGTAACATTTATATGTAACAGTGCGGATAGGTGAATAACCCACAACCACCCCACCCCCCCCCCCC